GTATATAGATTTCGTTGTTTTTCTTTTTTGGTCTGAGATGGCATTTCCTCAACATCTTCTTCCTCGCTGTCCTTTATTCTACCCACTTATTAAAAGTTTTTATATTTTTATCTTTCTTGGGAAAGAGGAAAAACGATACTTTTGGGTGACTTATTTGCGTTCTATTGAAGCATCTTGTTTGTTTACTTGTCGTCGGCGATTATCGTGTCTAAGTGCAATTTGATTGACCAATTACAAATCACTTACAGTCGGGAATATAACGCGGTTGTTTCAAATTATCTGAACGATCGCAGTGGGTTTAGAATGCGTATGAAAATAAAGATGGCGTATCGACATATCGGCCATTTTTCGGAGAAATTACTTTACAAATGTTTTTATTAATTTCTCAAATTCAACAAATTGTTCAAGGTTAGTATTTTGTGACTGGTTTATTGACTACCCAAGGATTCCAAAACCTTCATTCATTGGATTTTTGAAAATGGTTTCATATCCATTTTAAAGCTGCGACCTTAGGTTTTTGGACTTTTTTATAAATTATAATAGTGTATTAGTTGCTTAAATATTGATATAATACATACAGTAGGTATTACGTATCAGATATTTTGAAATCCAAAATGGTCGACATATTATGACAAGGAACAAAGTTAATCCTATAAAAAATTTGAATTATATGACTATGAGAAGTATGTACAAAATATAATGCTTTTATCCAGAGTGCCCACATCTATTTGCTAAGCTGTCGGATCATGTACTTTACATGCTTTCACAGAACTAAATTTTCAGTTCTACTTTTTATGAACACACAAAAAATTGCCATCAGTTTTCGGGATGTGTCATCATGAATTTTTGAAAGCTAACATACTGGTACTGTATACAAACTTTTTTGGTACATCAACTTGTTTTTCTGCTGGTTGCAACCTACTCGTTATTTATAGGCCTAATTTTGGAAATCCTTTGCTCTACTATAGGGTACTAGTAGTGATTGGGAAGTCACCAAAGGTGGCATTCCACAAAGTACTAAACTATGAACACTACGCCCGTTCGAGCGAAAAAATATCTGTGCGATTTACCACTTAATTCACCGGTACACACTTTCTAAAACCGCTCGGACACTAGTCTAATTACCATATCATCTAGATTATCAGCGACAATTTTCACCACCGAATTGCTGGGTAGAATACCGTGTATGGAATGACCATGGAGCCGGAGGCGATGATAAATCAACCTTAATTGTTTTTTTAATTTCTAAACGACATAGTTCATCACTTCTTGATGTTAGAAAAAAAAGAGAAGCCGATATCCATAGTGATCACAACCTACTGATTGGAACATTGAGAATCAAGTTAAAAGGAAAGAAGAAGAAGAAATCAGTACGTACCGTATATGAATCAAATAAATTGAAGTGTTCAGAATTTAGACAACAGTATGAAAAAGAAGTCAAAAACGCTTTAGGAAAAGTTTCACAAGTTAAACATCCTGATTTTGAAAATGAATGGAAAGAAACTCAAGCAGCCTTTGGAAATGCCGCCAAGAAGGTTCTTGGCACACGAAAAGGATCTAGTAAACCCTGGATATCAGCTGATTCATGGAAAGCTATAGAAGAAAGGAAGCAGCAGAAAATGCAGTACGAAGAAGCCAAGTCCGAGCGAATCCGAAAGATAAAACAAGAAGCATATGAGGAAAAAGACAGAAGTTAAAAAGAGAGTATGATCAGATAAAAGAAAAATGATTGAAGATGCAGCCAAAGAAGCCGAAAAAGCAGCTGCAAATGGTGATATGAGTTACGTTTATAAAATTACAAAAAGTCTAGCTTATAAAGGAAAAGGAAAGAAAACTGGAATAAAAAATTCTAGCAGCGAACTTCTGACATCAGAAGAACAGATCAGAGACAGGTGGAAAGACTATTTTGATAAAACCTTGAATCAACCTTCAAGGAGCAATAACAGAGAACTTCCAGAAATGATTACAGATGATTTTAGGAATGTTAATGTCAACCTGGGTGAAATAACAACACAAGAAGTTAGAGATGCAATGAGAAAAATGAAGAACAGGAAAGCAGCTGGCCTTGATGGAATTACAGCAGAAATGTGGAAGTCATGCAATGATATAACCCAACCAACTCTAGTAAACCATCTTCAACAAAATACTGGCCACAGAGAAAGTACCAGAAGATTGGAAGATGAGTCTGATCGTAATTCTACCAAAAAAAGGTGATTTAACTTTTTGTGACAACTACAGGAGAATTTCCCTGCTACCTACAGCTAGCAAGATCTTTGGAAGAATCATCATTGAGAGAATTAGAGTTAACGTGGACGAAGTACTAGGAAAAGAACAAGCTGGATACAGACGTGGGAGAGGGACCACTGAACAAATTTTCATATTAAGAAACATTATAACATTAACATTAACATTAACATTATTATTTATTATTATTTTATTATTTAAATTTCATCGACTACAAAAAAGCTTTTGACAGTATCAAAAGAGATGCGATGTGGAAAATTTTAGAATTGTACAATCTACCAAATAGGTTAATTAACATAATTCGTAATTGGTATGATGGTAGCCGCAGCGCTGTTATTTCTGATGGTAACCTTAGTGAATGGTTTGAAGTACACACCATAGTAAAACAAGGATGTGTGCTCTCTGGATTTGTTTTCATTATTATGATGGATTGGATAATGAGAAACACCATTAAAGAAGAGGTGAAATGTGGCATTAGATTTACCAGAACCACTTGAAGATCTCGAATTTGCAGATAATGGCGCCCTCATTTCAAGCAGGAAACAACATCTTCAAGAGAAAAATGACAGGCTGACCTCATATAGTTTACACACAGGCCTTGTAATCAACTCAAACAAAACAAAAATTATGAGAATCAAGAACACAAATAATGATCCAATAGTAATTGATAATAATGATATCGAACAAGTAGAAAAATTCACTTATCTAGGATCAATACTGTCTAAGAAAGGAGGCACTGATGAAGACATCAAACATAGAATTTCACTAGCACGAAATGCCTTATAGAAATCCCGGGAAAATATGGAATTCAGCAATATACACAAAGAAAACAAAACTCAAACTCTTCAATGCAAATGTAATGTCAGTACTTCTACATGGAAGTGAAACTTGGAAAGTAAATAAAGGAAATGAACATAAATTAAATGTATTCCAGCGAAAATGCTTAAGAAAGATAAGGAAATACAGGTGGCCAATGAAAATCAGCAATGAAGAACTTTACCAAAAGACAGCAACTAATGAAATCAGCAGAGAAATATTTAAAAGAAAGTGGAAATGGATCGGGCATGTGTTAAGGAGAGGTCCTGAAGATAATGCTTTTATTGCCTTAACTTGGGCACCAGAAGGAAAAAGAGACCGAGGAAGTCCCAAAACCGCTTGGCGGCGAACTGCAGAGATGGAAAGAAGAAAGCTAGGCTTCAACAACTGGAAAGAAACCGCAGTTGTGGCAAAAGACTTCTTAGAAATGGTTAATGATGTAAGGCTAAGTGAGTCCATCCATACCTTAAATATGTTGATGACTTCACACTAGTTGAGAGTAAACTGCACAATCAATTTAAGCCACAATCGCACGGAACTTATTTCGGTAAAACCATCCGACACGCCGGTTAGTTTAGTTGTAAAAAGTCCTGTGCAAGCAACCAAGGAAGTTTTCCGGTCAGGAAACTTACGCGAGTCGACGGTTAGTTTCACCGAGTCAATTGTGCTCAGGAAAACTACTAGAGCGAATCTGACTGGGCTAGATAGTCCAATGCGAACAGCACGACTCGGTTAATCTTCCGGGGTCACTGAAGTTGATGACATTTATCGCTCTGTTGGGCAACCACACATGCGCACAATTTCAACTTACAATTTTGCGCGACACAAACCTGGTTTGAATATTGTTTTGATTCTGTTTGTTGGTATTGTTGTAACTAAATTTATATCATGTTTCTACTTTCACTTGCCTGCATTATTATTATTGGAGCATGGCTATAATTTGATTAAAAGTGTGAATGGTTTGTTTAGCTTTCCTAGGCCCAACAATCAAATTCGTACTCGCAGTAGTAGTAGTAGGCATGGTTTTACCCTCGCTGACAGGAAACTTAAACGAGTCGAAAATCCAAGTGCGGAGAGCCTTACGATTTCACTGTCAGAGCGTCAACCAGCGTCTCAGTAAAATCTGCCCCTTTTTAAATCCAGTGTAACTGCGGCTTTAGTCTCATGCAAGAAGAGTTAAATAACTTTGATAGGCTATGAAAACATAAACCACAACCCAAGAAAATGTGCCACCATGAAAATTAGCTTTCTTAAAAACCAAGTTGATGATGCCTCCCTAACTATTTCAATCGAGTATTGCTTCTGTCTGTTTTAAATTAAGGATTACTGTAGCTGTTTTTATTGCTTGTCTGTAATGTTTTTGGTTAATGCTTTTAATTGCTTTACCTTTTGACTTGCCTTGTGTAATAAATTACCATTCCTTTCCTTATTGTAATATTTAATACCTAGAACTAGGTATCCCAATGAAACCCGTTTTGCGTTACCACAGTCCGGAAATATTCATGAAATTTGATGAAATGACATGATTTTGATGTTGAGAATAAAATACTCATTGTGAATGTATGTCAATAAAAATAAGATATCTTGAAAGAACTGGCTTTATTCTTTACTTACATGCATTTTTTAACAATATTGATGAAGTATTTGCAGAGAAAAGACGATTTTAAAATGAGTTGTCAAAAGCCGGCGAGCCGATTTTTACGCGCAAAGAAATCTTTGGAAAACCCCTATTTGTTTTCAAAATACGATCGCATGATATCCATTACAGCTAGCGGAATAATTTCTTTTGCATGTTATCAGGCTATGAATCAGCTATATTTTGATGTATAACTCGCTTGGTATCGATGTGTTCATCCGCCGCAAAAATCAATTTAAGTGACAAGAATCGTATTTTTAAACTTTTTTCGTGATCAAAGTCTAACGGATTTGGTATTAAATTAAAGCTAAATTATATTTTTGTTTCGTAAACCATTATTTATTTATTGATTGTACGTGGATATTAAGCGATAACACGTTTTATACAGTAAACTGAGAAAGTAATTCCTCAGAAAATGTGGTGTCTAAACCATTTTCTACCCGGTGAAAGTTAAATAAACGCTACTGAGAACCACACGGCTTTTAGCGTATTTAGCAAAATTTACACCCTCCAGAAAAATGGACTGTGCCAATGGTATTTTTAGATCGCTTCCGGGGAGCGAGAAAAATACGGTTAGCGAGAGAAAAAGCATCGGGAAAAAAGGATGGAATTCGAACAAATTGCTAGCGAGATTGGTAAGTATTTTGACTGAATTACTAATTATAATATCACTAGTACATTAGTTCTTAATTTTATATCATTAACGTGGGTTTTAACAGCCCGCTAATATAGATAAATGATTTAAATGCTAGGCCTAAATATTACTGATCTACGGTGTCACGAATGGTCGCTTTCTCGCCTTGCTCAACAAGCGAACTCCGCGAGTCGTATCACTGCACTGCGACCATTCTTGCTAGATTGGGCCTAGTTATTGATGGTTTTAAGTAAGTAATAAATAAGTCTCGAGTATGCCTAGGTAATTAGGCCTAGGCTAGATAGATGTATGATGGATGAAGATGTAATTTATAATATTAATTGTTTTTGCAGATGATGATGTTTTCAAAAGTTTGAAGATCGAGTTTGGGAAAGGCAGAGGGAGGCCAGTTACTGTACAGGAGGCTTGCATAGTAAACCTGTACAAAACAAGTCCTGCCTATTCATTAAATACTAAGAACTACAGTAGGCCTTAATTTTGAACCAATTTTAATGTAGCTTGATTTGACTGATTTAATTTATGTGAGTCTTTAAATAGTAAAACATTAACAAAAAATAACATAAATGACAAAAGGTTACAACATATACAATTTTTACACCATTTTTATTACTTCTCAAACATTGCCGATTTTGCATTTTAAAATGTTTTGGCTTTATCTTATTTAATTTAAGTATGTTATTATAATACATTTGAGGTAGACCCTGGCCATATATATATATATACCATTCTTTGTAATGCAAAAAAAAGTAAGTGGATTGATGCAGTGGTTAAGAAGATATAGGCCGTTGAAAAAGTGCCGATTTTGCACATTTTTTAGACATTTGCGAAAAATTGCCAAAAAATGCAGAGGGACCATACTCGTGGGCCGTTATTTTAAAAACCACATTGCAGAGTGTCCCCAAAAAAAATAGACACATAAAACCCTATGTGATCTACCAGATTGGTGAAAATTTGATGTTTTCTATGATTATTTTTGAAGTTATGGCCCTCCAAAAATGCTCAAAATGGCAATTGATGAAAAATGCCGTTTTTTAACCGTTTGACCCCCATTTTTGGCAACTTCGATGGGCCATAACTTTTGAACGGTATGTTGGATTTCATTCATTTAAACTGGAAAGTGATCAGTGCAGTAAGTTCTGCATATTAAATGAAGAGAGAATTCACAATAATGAATTTGAAATTTCTCATTGGGATACCTACTAGAACATTCTAGAATTACATTTTTTTACCAAACAAGCCGTGTAAACCACATTGGTAATTATAGAAACACAAAAGACTATGTGGAATCCAAGTGTAATATTTGGAAGCTTCTAAATACTAAGTACTATAGAAACTAAAAGTCTATTGGTTAATTATGATATAATGTGACCCATGAGGGACTTATGTAATATAGAATGCTCTTTAGTTTAAATGTTTCTTTTGTATGATTTAACATTTTATACATTTTTAAATTTCAGAAGTTGAAGTTAGAAATGATCAAGGGTATTGACATCGTTTGCCACAAATCATTGCCACAAATCACATCCGTAAAATAGAGTTCATAATTGGGAAGTTTGTTTGTGTGTCACTTTCCTGTATTCTCTTGTGTCTAAATTTTACATTGATCAGTGTCTTGGGTCTTGAATTTTGCATTAATAAAAATATATACTTACATGGGCTCCATAAATATAGTTATCCAACATCTTGCCTCCTAGTGTCTGGCCACCAATATCCCACACTTGTAAAGTAACATCAGTTTTACCTTAATATTAAACAAATTTTAAGTATTAAATTATTCTTCTCATATATCTTTTCTTCCTTTATCATTGAAAGCTCATTCAATACATGTACTGGTCTCCCATGAAGTCCAGATTTTGAAATTAATAGTAAAAAGAAAAAAAAAGCAATAACATACAAAAAAACATAATTTATAGTGCTACCAAGAAGATTCTTAAAGTATGTGTGTGTATGTGTGGGTAGTAAGCCTCATGCTTGTCAGGAAGGGAACAATAATATTCATTAGAACCAACACCTTTCGGTGGCACTCAAAAATCATTTGGTGCATTTAAAGTGAAATAAAAAAAAAAACCAAACAAATTAAAATTCTTTAAAAAACTAAATAGTACAAAAAATGACAAATTATTAAACAAAACATGTAATTCTTAAGTACGAAAGAAAAAAAAAAAACATGTATTAGAGATACTGATGGCAGGTAGCTCCTCGAAAAGCATGAAAAGGAAAAACAATCAACACGCTGTCCAGGCATAATATCCTAACCAATGTAAAAATCTATGTCAATGTTTCAAAAGTTAATCATAGCAAGCAAAGCAAAGACAAATTGCTGTAACCAAACAGAAAAACAATACAAATGAAACCAAAGCTACAACTGAAAGAGAGTCCATTCCTGCTATGATAGACACACCAACAAACCCCTTAAGAAAAGTGCTACAGGAAGAAAAATCCTATAGGACAAAATCTTATAGGTTTTCGATGCATGTTATACGACAAAATCGATTAAAGCTTTGTCTACACTATCAAATTTTATAAAAAAAGCATCACATAAAATGTGATGGAAAATAAGAGTTGAACACGTTCAACTTTTTTTGATACAATTTGACAGTATGTGATATGATGTTATCGTACCCATATATGGGCACATTTTTTTTTATCACATAAAATTTGATAGTGTACAGTAGATAGCTTAATATCATGTAGGATTTGTCTTGGATCTGTCGAAAAAAACTTACAAGATTTGTCCTATAGTGCAGGGTCTGTATTTTTCTTTGCAATTTTGCAACACTTTTCCCGACTCAGAATTTTGTACTGAACAAGAAAAATGTTGGTGCCAATTTTTTTGAGAAGGTTAGCTGGCTGACATCTTGAAAAACAAGATGGCAGACACATCTAGTCAAACATATCATTATGCGGTATCATTGGAAAGAAAATAATGCACTGAATAATTTTTCCCATTACACTAATATAAAAAAAATTAATAGTAACGGAGATATTCGCCATTAAACAGGTCATTGTCTGCTGCCCTCTATTGGTGAAAATTTCATTTTCTTAATTCTTTGTACAAATTTAGCTGGATTTCTCAGTTCTAATACAGATATTTTGTAGATTCTTGTTTGTAACTGGACTGATACACTGACAACAACAAAATTTTATTCAAGTTTATTAGTTTTTTTATGAAATAATGAAAAATCATTATTTTTGTTGTGTAGAACATTTATTGTATTGAGATTGAGAGTTTCCTGTCGTTATTTTTTTTTAAAGTGCACATCAACACCCAACAGCCGCAATAGATACAATAATTTACAGGGTGAAACTTCAGACACCATGATAGTATTTCTGAGACCTCTATAGCTTCCGGGGTCAAAAACAAAATTATTTAGCAGAAAACATATGGAACATGAAATTAGATTGCTTGATTGGGAGCAATTTTCATAAAAAAAGTGTTAATTATAATATAGTCTGTCAGTGGCGTAGAAAAGTTTTTTTCATTGGGGGGGATGATTGGCGTGTTAGCCAGTGTCGTAACAGGCGGGGGGAGGGGGAGACGGGGGAAACTGCCCCTCCCCTGACGGTTTTTACCGGGCTGACCAAGCCGTCGTATCGGGCTGGGTAATAAGAGAAAAGAAAGAGAGGAGAGGGAGGGAAAGAGAAAGAGGAAAAAAAGAACAGGAAAGAAAAAGAAAAAGAGATGAGAAATAAAGACAAGAATAAAAAGGAAGATATCATAATGACCAGACTCACAACACCCTGCAACCCCTTCTCCACTTCAAAAACTGTCATAACTCCTTTGATCTATGCTGCCCGATGGCTTGACCACTGGGGGACAAGGGGAAAATATCTATCTTTGAGAAATCTTCCCCACCTCTTTATAGATGCCATTTCATCCCCTGAAAGTGCCTAAAAACCTCAAATTTTGCGCGCTTCGCGCGTATTTCCTGTTGGCATGGGCCAATTTCCTCTTAAAATTGCACATTTTAGGGAGTTTTGATCAATTCCAACGAAATTAGAACTAAAAACACCATGGGACAAGGTAAAAATATCCATCTTTGGAAAATCTTTCCCCACCCCTTGATAAATGCATCCTCTGAAAGTGCCTAAAATTCTCAAATTCTTTGCTCGTATTTCTTGTTACGGTAGGCCAATTTCCTCTATAAATTGCACATTTTAGGGAGTTTTCATCAATTCCGACAAAATTAGAATAAAAAACACAAAAGTATTTTTTAGGATTATCCTTTATTATTATTTAAACACATAGGCCTAATAATAGACAAATTTAAGATCGTTTTAACGAAAAAGAAGGGCCTCAATATGCATTGATGGTGAAAGAATATGTTTGTAATAAATAAAACCATGATGAAAATGCTTATACAGTATTTAGTTTCAAACACAGGTGTGTGGCCTATATTATAAATATGATAAGCCCTACCGTATGTCGTATTGTTTTCTCTATAGGGAGTGGGGTGGGGTGGGGTAGGTATGGTAAATTACGGTAAGTTACTAACCGGGAAAATAACTACCGTACCCACTCTGACCCAAGACCCCTGTTACGCGCCTGGTGTTGGCGCCAATGTGTGCCCTTGTGCGGACAGGGGATGTGCCCTCCTCCGAAGCTGGAATTCTTGTTTTTACAAAATAAATTGATGCAATTTGCTATTATAGGCCTAATCAATAAATTCCTCATCAACCGATATATCTTTAAACATTCTTGGAATTGACATAACATTACTGATGTCGTACACACACTTAAGTGTGAAATGTGGCTTTCTTTGCAAGCACATCTAACATCTAAGGAAAGAAGAGCTTAAGATTGGTACCAGATAAAATAATTTTGTTATCAATTTTCATCTTTGTAAGCGCATAAGGCAGTGCAAATTATTTCTGTGACAGTCTTTAAGTGTGTAAAACTCCATTTTATCCCATACATAGTCAAAATATTGGGGGATGATACAATGGACCATCCCCCCCTTGTCAAATATTGGGGGGGGGATATATCCCCCCATCCCCCGGGATCTACGCCTATGTGTTATCTACAATCCACGTTTTCATAGGTGAAGCTATCCCCGCTGGAGACCATCCTGGTACTTCTCTCGATTTTAGGGTTAACCAAAATCATTTGGCAGAAAAACATATGGTGACATGAAATGTTTTTTATACTGAGAGCAAATTGATAAGGCCTTTTTCATGCATTTTGTCATTGTAGCGTTATTGATGATCCGATTCTCGAGCGAATCCCCTCTTGTTATTGTCAGGAACATCATCATCTTCATTAGCGATCTGCTTCTCGAGCGGATCACCTCTTGTTATTGTCAGGATCTTCTTAATTCTTCTTTCATTCTCCCCTTTTTTGTTCGCACGATATCTCAAAAAATGCCACGAGTTACGGACAATCGCACTTCAACAAACATTGGCTTGGCCAGGAATAGTCATGGTAAGCTTTTTAACACGCTCAGTCGTGCGTGACATCATCTACGCGCAATTTTGCGTTTTTACGTTATCGATCATATCAGCCTAACTAATTGCCATTTCAAAATCGTATTAAGTGAGGATTAACTTCAGGTCAATGTTGAATGTAATGTACCCTAATTTTACGCGAGTGCCTCATAACGCGTGCATACGCGTGCGTCAAAATTTCAAAATCACTTTTTGACTAAATTAGAGCATGTTACACGCCATTTTGAGCATTTCAAACTTTTCCGAAATTTACCACTACATTGTGACGTCATATTGCCATCTGAATTCAACAAACTGAATTTTATCGATGACGTAATTTTTGAAAATATGCATTTGAGTGTATCTCGCTTATTCTTGGTCGATCGTCTTCCAACTTTGAGTATGTTATAGCTTAGGCAATTCTCTTTCATTATGCGACTTCTTTTTACATTTTTATGACGTCATCATGGTCAAAATAAAGGTTTTTGCTGACCCCCTTATCTTTCTTTCCTCAAACCTTCGATGACCCCATAATCATAACCAGTCATGATTTCTGAATCATATTTAGTGGGCATAAACTTCAGGTCATGGTTAAATGTTATGTACCTTAATGTTCTGTTCACGCATAATAACGCGCGTGTACGTGTGCGTCAAAATTAAAATATGCTTAAATATCATGCCTTTTTTTAATCAGTTATACAGTAGCTCCTTAGGATGAAAGGTGACACCCAATTTTTATTACATATTCTGAAAGTACATGAGGTATAAATATGATTTTATATATCATAACAGCTGATCGGACATTGTGACGTCAACATATAGCCATCTAAATTTTAGTCATCATATAGCCATCTAAATTTTAAAAACTGAATTTTTATACATGATTAAAATATAAATGATAATTACTCCCTCACCAACAGGAGTTTGTCAATGAAAGTTGATACATATAATGATATATATCTCATATCAGGAAACAACATTCTGTCACATTAACATGCGCACGTGTGTCATGCACGTGCGCGTACGCATGAGTAAATCTTTTAAAAAGCTCCAAATTCTAAAAAAAAATATATATTGTTCAATCAGCACAGCGTACACTTCCTCGCAGGTCAAAGTGCGGTGGATCACCTAAGTGATCATCCTGAGTGACGAGTTCAAATCTAGTCTTCATTGGTGATCTGCTTCTTGAGCAGATCACCTCTTGTTATTGTCAGGATTATCATCATCATCATTTTTTTTGGTGATCCGCTCCGCTAGCGGATCACCTCTTGTTATTGTCAGAGATCTTTTTTTTTTCCCATTTCTTGTTAGCACGATATCTTACACGATAAAAATTGGCACGAGATTCATACATGCACGTTTCAACGAACATTTAGCTTGGCCTGGAATAGTCACAATAAGGTTTTCAAAGTGCGCAGTTATGCGTGACGCCATCTACGCGTAATTTTGAGTTTTTACATTATCGATCATATCAGCCTAACCAATTACCATTTCGAAATCGTATTACGTGAGCATTAACTTCGAGTTCAGGTTGAATGTAATGTACACTCATTTTGCGCGTGCTCTTCATAACGCGCGCGTACGAGCGCGTCAAAGTTTTAAAATGGTCAAAACCAATTTTTGACTAAATTAGAGCACGTTTTAAGCCATTTTGAGCATTTCAACATTTTTAAAATTTTCAGCAGCGCATGCGCATTTTTACGTGCGCAGCACGTACAGAAGTTAAAAATATTGTTTTTTTAAATGTTTTAGGTCCCTGACACTGTATTCACAAATTTCCAATCTTTTTTGGTCATTTAGGGTCAATAGCAATGCCGTACGCGCACATCAAAAAAGAGCACATGTGCGCATTTTTTTCGACACAGAGCAAAAATAGGCAAAAAACATGCATATTTTCAATCAATTATAGCTCCTTAGAATGAAAGGTGACCCCCAATTTTTATTAC